AACGGGAAATCCCGCTGTCTTTCCATCTCGGAAATCCCGCTGTCTTTCCATCTCCGACATATATAAATCAGAAAACTGCACGCTTACCGTGTATAAAAGTAAACCTAACGCAAAAGTCCTCCTTCTAAGCACCAAAAATACAGATATACAAGTAGAAGACAATTATAAAGGTGATCCAGAAACCATTGCTTTCTATAATAAAACAAAGTTTGGTGTGGACGTCGTTGACCAGATGGCACCCAAATATAGTGTGAAAGCAGGGAGTTTCCGATGGTCCCTTCAAGTTTCTTTTTTCAATATTTTAGATTTGGCAGCGATAAACGCGTGGATATTACGCAAAGAGTGCACCGGATCGAAAATATCCAGAAAGGAGTTCATATTTTGTCGAAGATCAGATGCTTCGTTTCTGGGTCTTTCAATGTCAGAAGTGCGAAAAAGTTGCCAAGTGGGCTACTGCAAAAAAAGATAGAAGAAATAATTGTTGCATATATTGCAAAAAGATCGTATGCGGAAAATGCACAAACAAAATTCAGTATACTTGTAAAAAGTGTGCTCAATAAATATGATTACCCTATAGCGTTAATATTATTGTTATCATTTCCGTGATATTTAAAAAAAATTTTTTACTTATTAATAATTTATTTAAACGTGAAGCTTAATATTGTTCAATTCAGACTTAATTTGAATAAATCGATTTTCTAAAGAAAATGCGTATTTTCGTTTACCCGTCAATTTGACGATTCCTTGTAGAGATAGGTATATAAGAAACGCTCGTAAACCTAGAAATTATTATTAAAGTTTTTCAACAATTGTAACGAGTAGGCGATCTAATACTTATGCTCGGCCGTGAAACTACGTGGAACGTAAAAACCATAAAAACATATATAAATAGTATTATTAACCATAAAACATGGACATTTATACTTTATATACAAAGCCCTTAATATACGACAAGGCGTTAGATAAAAGAATAAAAAAAAGGTGGACAAAGAAAGAAAAGCGACAGAAGAAGCGAAGCTTAGAAGGCGAGCGTATCGAACAAGGATGCGTACTTTCTGGGAATATATGCTTGCAATTACGTATATATGGTAATGCGTGCGATAGGACGCGAAGAGTGTCGAAAATTGGACGATCGCGCAACACCATAAAAATAACCAGGAATGGAGAAACGGGAAGAATATGGGAGACAACAAGAAAAGAGCACACCAAGGCGACAAAGAACGAGCCTCGTGATTCGATTCGAGCCGACTACGAGCGTGTATGTGGGCATATTGCTCTTTCGGCGTGGGTTTCGAAATACAAGACCGAGTATATTCCACCGGTCATTGTCCATCGATTGATACCGTGCTTCTACTTCCTTCGATCTCGCTTCGATCTCGGCCCTTTCCTCTTCAATCATCTTTTTTTTAATTCCTGCTTTGATTCCTCGAATTTCCCATAAGCTCTTCCCTCTGGTTCTTACTGGTGTAACAGGAAATAACATTATCTTGCTATAGACGATTCACAATGAGCCCCTTTTCTCACATCATCTTTCTAAATTTCTAAAGTAAGTTCTTAAATCTTTTGTAAGCTTTCCCTTTTGGTTCTTATTATTGATATAACAAGAAATAACTTTATCTTTCTATAGATGTTCCATAATAAAATTGAAACGATAAGAGTAAACATTCTTCCAATAGGTGTACCAATGTTATTATACATATAGTCTCATCGTGAAAGGTTTGAATAGATTGGCGAGTTCTCGAAGAAGGCAACGGTTAATTAAGCGTAATTATAGGCAATTCTTTGAAAAGGATAAGCGGCAATCTGCGCGTGTCCCCAAGCGAAGTTGCGTCCGGGTTTATCGCCCACTTGGCGCTCTTGCAGCTGCAGGTGTGTTACGGCAATAACGCAATTCTGAACGACGTGCTCGAGCTTTCTTGCCACTATACGCCATTCTATAGGGTGCTCTTAAATCCCAATACACTACAAGTTCCCATTGAAATTCGTTATTCTTTTCCATGAACCTTCCTCGACTGTTTCTTCAACGATTTAGGCGCACTTCTCGTTTACGATTATTTTTTCCCACGCATAATTCTGTGGCCACAAATGGGACAAAATTCTGTGAAAAATTCGAAGATCACCGCGTGTACGACGGCCCACAGGATCCAGCAACCTACGTCTGAGTCGGCCCTGACGACGCGCAATGCTCAGGTACTCGGTTTTCTCTCGACTTCCGGTCGCAGAAAGGAATGCATAGGCGGAGCTATACCCACGCAAAGAGACACACGCCGATCGAGGATGGAAAAAAGACACGGCGACAGAAGCTGCGAAACAGCCTGCGTATGGAGCTGTGTCTATGCGAAGAATTCCCCGTGTTTTTCGAAATCTTTATAAAATGTTCCTAACCTGTGTCGTGCTTGGAAGGCATCTCGGCGGTTATTTACATAGAACGTTCGAAATTAGAGAATGGATAACGCACAGCACTCGCGAGGGAATATCTGGTGGCTACGGAAAGTATTTTGCAGGTTATTTTATTTATCATAGCATTAACACGCTAATTAATTAGCTGAAAATATCATTAAATTCCGTATCATTTATTAGTATTTTCATAGGACTATGAAAATGAGATGTAGAACCTGATAAAAAATAGTTAGAAATTTCGTTAGATAATAGGGACGTATGTAAATAATTTTTATAGGCATTATAGATCATATTTATAGAATAATTGTAAGATAACTAGTAAAAATATGACTGATAGATTTAAAATATTTATGCTATAATGCTTATGTTTGACTTTGCAGTTCGTCGAATTGGGTATGGTTACGAGCATAGAATACAACCATAAGCCCGTGGAATCTGCGAGGAAAGGTCAGGAAGTCTGCGTGAAAATCGAGCCAATACCTGGCGAGGCGCCGAAAATGTTCGGCCGTCATTTCGACGAGAAAGACTTCGTTGTGAGCAAGGTAGGCCTTTGATCTTATAATTCATCCACGGGAGTGAGTTCAGTAACATTGGATGGACGATTTACGGGATATTATCGTGAACATTACAGACAATTGCTTAATTTAGGAAACATTATTCCGTATCCACCATCGATGTTTATGATCTCGGTTTCGTTGATCTTACGTACCATCCATTCTGGAACGTATAATAAGAGGGTACATACTTTAAAAAAATGCTGGCACAATTTCGTTATCAATGATCGTTATCACGAAGAAGAAGAACGTAATTCTGTGGTTCGAATTTTCTCTTTGAAAGCGAATAGCTCGCTTAGCGAGTTTGATAGCCTCTGAAATAATGAAGCGCCGTACGTTTAAACCGTGCAAAATGCGGTGCAAGCACACGAGGTTTATGTGCGGGATTACGAGGAAAGGAGGAACGATTACAAGGCGAACGTTTCAGAGTTTCGTGAAGCAGCTGCTTCGAAAGAATTTGATCGACAGGTGGTCTTGGCCGTTGATGAAATTCCGCTAGAGAACCGAGTATATACGTTTCGCTTTTTCCCTCGTGCACCGAGCCGATTCGCATAGCTTTGCAATTTCATCGAAATCAGAAGCGAGCGAGACGGAAACGATCCTTATTAGTATGCAAGACTTTGGTCGAAAAAGGAAGATGCACATCCGGTAGCGATCAGGCGTCCACCATCGACTTCCGGCCTTCGCAGAACTTCCACTCTTCCTCCTTCCCCTCACCTCGCCTCTTTCTTTTCCGTCTTCCGCTTTGGATATCAACTGTGAATCAATCGGCCCTATACTTTAATGGAAGCGAATATCGTGTGCTCGACACACGTGTTTAGCTCCCATAAATTTCACTTAATTGATTACATGAGTCAGAAGCTATACCGATCAACTCCATAAATTGAAATGTAAAGGAAAGTAATAATTATAAGCAGTTTGTACTGTTCCTCTGTGATGAATAAATTCATGAAAATAAGTTCTTTCTTTTTCTTGAAATGTTTGATATTAATTGTGTAAATGAACTTAAATGAAATTGAGAGCTTCGTATAAAATGGAATTGATCGTTTTGGCTTCCGAGACGTGGATCATACGTGAATCTTTGTGCATTCATGGGAAATTTAATGGTTCAAAGATACATAGAATGCACATAATATACTAATTATAAAATATTCAAAATATATAATTCGCACGAAATTCGTCTTGTTTTTATATTCATCATAATATATGTATGCATAAAAATAAGATGAATTTATAGTACAGTACAATAGATATATTTCCGTAACTTTTCAATAAGTACATAAACTTCCGCGGTTTAGTGGCTTTCATATTATTCTTTTATCTAAATCTAGAAATTTGCTTTATCATAGAAGCACAGCACGAATTCCGTGTTCAATAGCGTCAACTCAGTTTCCTCTAGCTTTATCCACGCTTTCCGGTTGTGCACGCGTACTCAACAACCATGTGAGCACTTATATGTGCACAGCCCGTCTGGCTTGGGTATCTTTGTGTGCTGCCAAGGCGAGCGGAAGTCGTCGTTACCGTTTGCTTCGTAGAATCGATTCCCCGGAATCACCTTGTTCCCACGATGATTTGTCAAGCGACGATTTTGCTCGTTCCTTGGCAACAACAGAATTTTCGCCTTCCCCTCCTTCGTTTCATCTCTTTGACCTCTTAAATTCTACACAATAATTTCTGCTCGACCATAAGTTCAAAAATACACCGTACCGAATCGTGCAGAATAAAATCATCGAGACTACTCAATAATCAAAAGTCGATAAAATCGACCTGTGATTAAATTGATAGGAGAAGTGAGAATAGGTGAGGCTCTTCGTTCGATACGAACGAAACACGAATCAAAGTTAGTATGGACGGCGTTAGGTTGCAACGTGTCCTTGTGGGTATATGTCAAGATATCGAAATCCGTGGCTGGAAAAATCATCTGGATGTATAGGAAAAAGGTTTCACGAGGAGAGGACCCTTCTGCTGTTCGTGCAACGTTGCTCGGTTAGTGACAAAGGGCCGTGAGAGGACAAGGGAACGAAGCAACGGAGACGAGGCTATGAAACGGAAACGGTACGGAGAAAGAGAGGCAAAGAATTGTACGGTGGGAGATCTGTGCGTGGTGTGTGCGTGTACGTGCGTACGAGAGAGAACTAAAAAGCGAGAGAACGAGAGAGAGGGAGCGTGTGCGAGAGCGAGGGGAAGGGAAAAAGGAAAGAAAGGTAAGGGAATGAAAGGGGAGGGAGGGAGTGAGAATGAGATGGTGGGGGAGAAGTAGCAGGGGCGTGGCGGGAGGCAGGCGTCCTCAATAGCCGCGTAAAACCACCATTGTGACCGATCCATGAATGAAACGGGACTTCCGGCCGGGAGTGGGGGCGGAAACAGTTGTAAAGCGTTACGTTAGTGAATGGACTGTGTGCGCGAGCATGCGCCTGTCCTCGCGAAAACCGATTCAAGGAAATTATTCCTAGACGAGGAGAAACGTTTAAAACGGTCTTTCTACTTGCAGTTTGCCCTGATGATGATTCAAGGGTTTGCATTCATAACGTGCCAGCTTTGATATTTTATTTGTATTTATCGATAGAGAAAGAAAGGTATAGGTTTCATATTCAACGATGCTAAAATTTATCGTTAGGAATATTGGTCG